TGGCTTCACTAAGGTTTATGGTAGATATAACTATAGTTAATAGGGTTTATAAACCAACAAACATCACTGGGGGGCACCATCCTGTGCTAATATTCATTGTCCCATGAATTTATCCCATCAGTATCCTATCATACTTGGAGGATAACCACAGTTGAAGGGGCCTGATGTACCAACTTGTAGGGCTTAAAATCCCATGGTTATAGCCATTTTTTATTACTCCATGACTATCCCATCGACGTGGCAACGTGGGGTTCAGCGACAGGTTCAAAAAGAGACCAACAGTGAGGACTGGGCGAAACTAGAGGTGCGGTGGGCTGACGGCTGGTGTTATCCCAGGGATCATGGGTAAGTTGAGGAGACCGGCGTGGTGAAAGCATAGAAAACAACTTAAAATCATCCTGAAGTAGAAGATGGATGGTGGAAAATTAGTTCTATTTTAGAGAGGAGTTGTTGAAATGTCCATATTCTATTTACTCCAGGATGACCATAATTGCCGTTTTGATGGGAATAGTCTGCTGAAAGAATAATGCCGGGTATCCAAATCCAAGTAAAGAGAGTATAAATGGGTCCATGTTCAAGAGATATACTAGGGATAAGCTGCAAAACTGACAAAAAATCGGGGTTAAAATTGATGGCCTCCATTTAAATCCCAATAGATACGTGTTTGGTCGACTAATGGCTTCTTAGCTATATACTGTTAAAAAAAAACACAGTTTTCAATTGAATTGTTTAATTAAATCTGAAATGATCACTCAAAGACTTAAAGCCTCAACATGCTCAATTTGAAGCGCGTTCGGAACATGTTCCTTTCACAAGGGTTACTATCGGCCAGGTCCACCAAAATGGCCTTATCAAGGGATTAAGAACCCCCATTAACCAGTAATAAAAAACCCTTTCTGAGTCCACTAACCAGTGTACTCATTCCAATCCCATTACTGAATTCTATAATCATATATAATCATTAATGGGATTGTATAATCATTAAATGGAATTCAAATGGAATGAGTATTATACTCATTAACCACTATACTATAATCATTTGAATCCCATGCTCATCCCCATGAAAAATCTCCCAGTGCAGCCCCCTGCCGAAGTCCAGGCACCTTTCGGCGACGTCAGCAACTGGGCTCCCTTGAAGGCCCAGAATAGTTATATCAATGGGAATTCCAGGATCCTAAAATGGAGGTACGTTAGTACCATATTTCTAGCCATATTTTGCTGGGATATTCCCTGAAAAATAGGCCTGAAAAATAGGCCTTATATATCGTAGGTACCTCCAATTTAGGTTCCTGAAATGGCCATTGAATATAGTATGTTACAGTCATCCTGGAGTGGATAGAATTGATAGAATATAGAAATTTCCACCGAAATCCCCCCCGATTAATTTAGTAATATCTATGTTCTATCTACATTTTAGTACATTTAGTAATATCTATGTTCACTATCTATGAATTTAGAAATCCCCCACTCATAGTGTTTGAAAAATCCATGTTCTATCTACTTCAGGATGATGGTAGTTATATGCATACCAGGTGAGCCCCGCAGTTTTCAGATAGCCAATGAACCCCATCAACTGGTTTGTTGTATCTACCATAAACCCGCGTCAACCAAGCTATAAGTCAAGTTAGCTATCGTTTGGGGGGCCCACTACCCACCTTGTCTGTATATGCATATTTATGTAGTAGGTGTTTTGGGGGGGCAGACAGCGAAGAAATGTTTGATCTACAGCATGTGTGTCCGGAGGTTGCGAAATAGTGTGACAAGTGTGAACCAAGGAAAAGTTAGTTTAACCAACAAAAATGATGAGTTCATCATAAAGCATCATGATTTGATGAAAACAAATTGAGCAATCTTGGTGAATGGCAGAGTTTAGTTGTTTGTTGTGCGTCTTCTCTAAAGAAATCGCGAAATATATATGGGAGCCGATCGCAAATGCAAGTCTAAGAATTATAAAAGGGCATGTGTATTTCAGCATCCGCGATTGTCTCTAAATTTGTGACATCTAGCAGTGTTTTGGCGATTCTCTGCGCAAAATAGTGTCGCATACGACAGAACCCTCCCGCGATTGACACCGTTGGTATCGCGGTTGATTCGCGGTTGATCGGCGATTGTAGCTGCCCCAGATACCTTTATTTTGATCAACACCCATATGTTCTCAGTCGTGTTATCTAGCCTCTGGTAATTTGTCACATAGCTATTGAAAATGGCCCAGTCGAAATAGTGGATTTTCCCATTAAAAATGGTGGATCTTTCCATTTCGTTATATTAAATTACCAGAGGGTAACCATCATTAACCATCATTATTTTTTTCTCCGAAAAGTGTGGATTTTCCAGTTCGCAAACTGTAAACGTTTACCAGAGGGTAGCTACAAAATCCATGAAAAAATCACCTACAGAAGAGTGGTTCAACCGCAATTTGCGGCAACCTCGTCCAGGCCGCTGTGAAGACCTCGCACTTCACAGACGTGACCTTGGAACTTGGCGTTTTGAAGGTGGGGAAGTTTCCAGCTTTTTCTGTGAAAAAACCTGGGGATTTCAATGATTCAACTTGATTCAACTGAAGAAAAATTGGAAGACCTGGGTGAATGGTCAGTAAGAATCCGAAAACCTTGGTGAATGGTTGGGCAAAACTGGTGAATCACTATAGCCACGCAAGAAGGAACAATTGCTGATTATCCCACAAAAAGTCACTGTTTGGTACCAGGGTACCGAATTCGGTGTCCTCTCCACTGGCGAATCGCGGCAGGTCGCACATGCGTTCGACCGCGCAACCAACCACGAGTTTCCTCATTTTCTGGTTGGTGGTTTGTAACATTTTTCATTCTTCCATATATTGAGAATATATATATACTCCTGGGAATTGCCTATATATATATATTCTGGTTGGTGGTTTGGAACATGAATTTGATTTTTCCATATATTGGGAATAATCATCCCAACTGACAGACTCATATTTTTCAGAGGGGTAGGTATACCACCAACCAGTTTTACAAGCTGAGATAGATGGAATTGATCAAAAACTTTGGGAGCGGTGTAGCTCAGCCATGCAAAGACTAAAAATACAACTACCGATTTGGCAAACATCCAGACGTAGCTGTCGTTCGATTGCGCCATGGGCTTCCCGGCATGCTTGAGACGCTCTTGGCCAGATATCTGGGGAAGTTCCTGAAGGCAGGGCGGTCACTTGTGTGTTTCGCAACACGTAGTGTTTGATGCCCTTATCTGATCTACATTGGTTACTGGTTACAATAACATCAACCAATTCTCCTTCGAAAATGTTGCTGCCCAAAGTCTCCAAAGTTTGAAACACAAAACTTGAAAGAATGGGTTGAAGAGAAAATCAGCAGAGAAACCTCAACAAATTTGGGAGTAAAAGTAGATTTTCCCAACAAAACCCAACTGAAAATTCCGACATTTGCCTCACCAATGTGACGCAAGATCGCGGACATGCCTTGCCCTCCTGAAAGCACGCAAGACCCGGGTTGGTGCTGTGATTCATCTTCAGCGGAAACGGAGGTATACCCAGCCATTTCAGGAAGAAATCACGAGATATCCCTGAAAAATCGCGAGAAACACATCAGCCATGGCAGCATGGTCAATTGGGATGTTGAAAGCAACGATTGCCAATGATGGTTGTGCCATTTATTTCCGCTATCCCACTGGTTTTTCCGCAGCACCTCGTCTGACTGGGATGGTTTGTGGTTTAGGATTTACCAAAGTTTACCCACATGATTCCTCCATGAATCATGAATCCCCCAACTCGCAAATGAATCCCTCACATTTCAGGTGAATTACAGAACTCAAAATTCCCAAAAATGGTCTCCCCCAATTTCAAAACCGCTGGTCAACCCCATCGACATCATCTGTATCTGTCCAGCCAGGGCTTTACTCCGGAGCACATCTCGGCGCATTTGTTGAAAGGATCGGTGAAGCTCAAGGAGCGCTCCATGGGGAAATCATGGGAGACTCATGGGTTTTTTTTTGCCAAAAAATGGAAGTTTCGAGGAAAATCATCGATGGATTTTCCAGCCATATTTGAGTACCGAACCAGGGGGCTGTAATGATGGTACAACTTAGCTGCTAGGTGGTTTCATTCCAGGCCAGCCATGATTTTTGTCCAGATTTAAAGAGGAAGTCAAAGTGCTGCAACTTCCACGTCCGGTGACATGTGATATTGCATTGAGAGATAGAGATAGAGAGATTATGAATAAATATATTCATACATAATATATATATATATGTATACATATATATTATATATATATAGGTATAGGTATGTATCCCTTATCTCATGATGCTTGAGTTTGTTTGAGCCACAATCGTCGATGCCCTCCACACATCCGTGGCGAGGAGGTCGAATTAGACTTGGCCACTCTGGAGCAGGCCGGTGTGTTTTGGTGTCCTCCCAAAGACGGGATGATCATGTGAAAAATCACTCCCAGGCCGGGGGTGAACCAAAAAAAAACCGCAACGGATCCTGGAATCATCTTCGAAAAACATCGGGAAAACATGGGAACACTTGCAATTTTAATGAATTCCTAGGAATCCTAGGTTTGAGGTTGAACATGGACCCAATAATTCCGTGGTGGACAATTGTCCTTTTTGCTGGCCATGACTTGGCTCCATGTTAAGACAAACCATTCCAACCCCACCGGGCCCCGTGGAGGGTCTGGCGCTCCGAAAAACTGCAGAGGATCCCAAGAAACTCATGGTTTTATTTTTGGGAGGGGGGCTTTTGTGGGGACATATACTCATCCTGAAGTAGATGTTCAAAAAATCCTCACAACACTGGGGTGAATTTTGAAAAATCCATTTCCTATCTACTTCAGGATGATTCTATACAATGCCATCTGGTAATCACTAACATATCTATTGAAAATGGCCCAGTCGAAATAGTTGATTTACCCATTCAAAATGGTGAGTTTTTCCAGTTCACAAACTTTTAGTTTATAACTAGGTCAATCTTAGATGGGTACTTTAATCCTTTGCTCTTTTGGTATCAATGGGAATATCCACTAACCAGAAAGGATGTTTTTTGCAGGGTATCTAAGATTGGCCATGATAATAAGTTATACAGAACCACTAGAAAACACACCAACTGAGCGGGGGAGCCCAACATCTGAACCACCCATCAGACTGCGGAAAAAAAAACTAGACGACGGTTGGCCCGAGAGCGAAAAAGATGTTTTTCAAGCAGCTCTGAGGATGGTAGTCGTAAAAGATAGTCGGTGAATAGTTGGTGAATTTTATATGAGCTATGGAAAGATATGGTGTGAAAAAGTAAGATTGATCAAGAAGAGAATATTTGGTAAAGGGCATCAGATGACATGTGTCTTGCAACCACAGAGAGAAAGAGGGGGCAGAGAGAAAGAGAGAGAGAGAGAGAAAGAGAGAGAGAGAGAGAGAGAGAAAGAGAAAGCAAGAGAGAGAGAGAGAGAATGAAAGGGGGGGGTAGAAAGAAAACATGAAGAAATGTAATGTGAGCAACAAAAGTGCACAGGAGGCTCAGTGCCATGAGTCTGCGAATGACATGTGCTATCTCATTTTATTATGGTAATTCCCACACACATTGCGGAAAAAGGCGCGGCACCATCATTCCGTGAACGCGAAGAAACGCGACGCTTTTATACAGAGACGCTTTTACACACAGAATCTTTTACACATAAACACTTTTACACACAGACGCTTTCACACAGAGACGTTTTTCATGCACACACACAGACGCATTTCCACACAGAGACTTTTACACGAAAACACTTTAACACACAGACGCTTTTATACACATACTCTTTTACACACATACACTTTTACATGCAGATGCCTTTTTACAGACGCACACACACTTTCACACACAAACGCTTTTACACACAGACGCTTTTGCACACAGACACAGACGCTTTTCCACACAGACCCTTTTACACACAGACGCCTTTACACACAAACACTTTTACACACATACGCTTTTACACACGGACGCTTTTACACGCAAACACTTTTACATACAGGCGCTTTTACACACAGACGCTTTTACACTCAGACACTTTTACACACAGACGCTTTTCCACAGAGACTTTTACACAGAGACGCTCACAAAGCGCGGCACCACTGGGTGACCTCAGTTGCAAACAAAGGTGCGCAAACATAGTTGCAATGGAAATGCTAAAAAATCGCAAAAGTGCACAAGACCAGGCTCAGTACCATGATCAACGCACAATCCAATGCAAGGCATCCGCTCTTTGAGATACAAAATAAGCTCGGCACCATGATGCCGTGGATGACCTCAGTTGCCAACACAGGTGGGCAAACATAGTCGCAATGGAAATGCTACAAAATGCAAAAGTACACAAACAAAGGCTCCGTACCATGGCATCCAAGAGAATCTAGAAGTCCGTGCAAGAATGCTGTGAATGATTCCACAATAGCAAGTTCGATATCATGATGGCAAGGATGACACCTGTTTCACTGCATTTCTCCGATGTCCCTACAGGATGGAAAAAAATCTTTACAGACAAACAACAGTTGGCTACTGGTTTTGCATGTTCGTCACGAACAGTCTCTCCAGACGAACACTGCTACAGATTAATTTGCACCAGGGCATCGAAGAAATCATCTGCGCAGCTGCAAACACAGATGGTGGTGCCTGCCTCCTTCCAATGACACATTTTCTTCTCAAAACAACTGGCCGACCAGCTTTTACCAGATAGTGTCCGGTTTCTGGTTGCAAAGAATATTTTGGAGCCAATTCAGAGCTCCCAGGCACAAATGAAAGAATGCGTCGTAGAATTTGTTCATCAAAGACATCCGCCCTAGCAGGGATTCCCTCCGCATTCGCTGCCATGGCAGAACACACTTACATCCCCAAATACTTTATGCGACACGTTTGTGCACCAAAATTTTGTTTGTTGTTAACTGCTGTCATGTCCAACGATGTGGGCGCTGCCGCCGAATATCTTTCAACACCAAGACCCATAATCGGTTGGCATCATCTCTTGCTTCTTCATTTGAAAACAGAATGTAATACAATGTGAAATCGAGCATGAGCTCATGCATCCAAGATAGTGGCAAATGGCCCCAGAAATGGCGGCCCATTTCCGGAGGGCCGTTCATGTGCACTTGATCGTAGATGCACAATTCTCTCGAACCGGCGTCCTTCCAGTCATGAATAGATACCAACAGCGCATCGTTCAAATCAACTGAATTTGTTTGAAACGAGGTATATTGCAATCTCCCCGCAGCTGAAAAGCAATCGGCTGCCAGGCGCGACATGCTGTTAGTACAGGCTACAGAAGTATTAATTGAAAGCCCCAGGTTTCGATATGTCCACTACAGCTTCACCTACAAACGTCACATCTCTTGTGGCGAAACGCATCTTGTCCATTCGTTCACATCTGAGCCAAGGAATGTACAACGCACAATCCAATGCGAAGCATCTGCTCTTTCATTTCGAAACTGAAAACACGACTCCTGAGTTTGACATACCAAATAAGCTCGGTACCATGATGCCGTGGATGACCTCAGTTGCAAACAAAGGTGCGCAAACATAGTTGCAATGGAAATGCTTCAAAATTGCACAAGTGCACAAACAAAGGCTCAGTACCATGGTATCCAAAAAACAACAAGTGAACGCAGTGAATGATTCCACAATAACAAGTTCGATATCATGATGGCATGGATGACACCTGTTTCACTGCATTTCTCCGATGTCCCTACAGGATCGAACAATCTTTACAGACAAACAACACCTGGCTACTGATTTAGCACGTTTGCCACGAACAGTTTCTCCAGGCGAACAGTGGTGCACATTAATTTGTGAGCGCAGTGAATGATTCCACAAAAACAAGTTCGATATCATGATGGCATGGATGACACCTGTTTCACTGCATTTCTCCGATGTCTCTACAGGATCGAACAATCTTTACAGACTAACAACACTTGGCTACTGATTTAGCACGTTCGCCACGAACAGTCTCTCCAGGCGAGCAGTGGTGCAAATTAATTTCTGCCCGCCGCACTCAGTTCCATGTGCCACTTGGCCCGCAAACCTTCCAGCTGCCACAAGGCCTCCAAGACATAGGGGCGATTGTGCCAAGGGCGCAAGGCAGGTCTTTTCTCAAGCAGCAACTGGACGGCATCCTCTGCAGAGTAGTTGTAACCCACGACGAGCCAAGCACATAAAACCCCAGCGCTTCGATTGATGCCACCAAAGCAATGGAAGAGCACGTGCATGGATTCGCCCCTGGTCACTGCCAGCATGGACTGTTTCCAGAGTTGGCCACAAACAATTTTCCACTGTTCCAAACAAGAAGCTACCAAGTCAGGGATTCGTTCCTGCCAACGGTGCGGCGGCTTCAATGTCGTGTCCTCCAAATGACACTTGACGTGATAGACATTTTCTTGCTGGAAATACTGCGCCCAATCCTTTGGGGCGCCTCGAATCTCCATTTCATTTGCGCACATGGTCACCACCACGGTGACCTTCACCGACAGAGTCTCGAAAATGTCTTTCAAGCTGCAGGCCGCTTTGATGCTTCCAAGCAGCACCGACGCTCGAGCCGTAGGTTTGCAGATCACGGCAGCGTCCAATGGCCACTCCTCTATGGACCCGAAACTGTAAGGGTGCTGAGAGGTAATGCGGTCCAAGTCATTCCAGCATTCTTTGTCGGCGTAAGCCTTCCTGATATCTTCTTCTCGCGCCGCTCTCCACTCGCAAGCGCCGGTGGTCATGGCAGCAACTGTGATCGAACAGACGTTCCCTACCTTGAACACGACGCAAGCTATTTAACAGATCCGCATAATGCACAACTACAGGTCATTGATCCGCAAGCCACGCGAGCGACGACAATGCAAGCACAATGCAAGCACAATGCAAGAACAAAACTACCTCCCGCGGCAACGAAGTGCAAATGCACAACTACAGGTCATAAGTGTGACACTGAGTTGCAAGCCGAAACTCGATGCCATGATGCTGTAGAACCACTGCCATTTCCAGTGCTCCTCCATGGCATGCGTAACAAAAACTGCCATACGAGCATATACAAATATCAAGACAGATTACCCAAAAAAACAGCTCCATACCATGATGTCGAGGATCTCACATGTTCACGCGTTTTCATATGGAAAATCTCATAGAATTCACCAAATAACCTCGGTACCGTGATGCAGTGGACGACCTTAGTTGCACGACTTTCTCTGTACAGTGAAACTGTAAACGAAGGATAACAAAAGCGCGCAAACGAATGCATATCATGATGGCACGGATGACACCCTTTTCATTGCATTTCGCTCGATGCACGGACAGTCCCTGTAGCATCGAGCCCGTCAAAATGCAAGCCGAAACTCGATGCCATGATGCTGTAGAACCACTGCTGTTTCCAGCCCTCCTCCATGGCACAGACGTTCCCGTCAGCAAATGAAACAGCGACCACAAAACGTCCACAAACGTCACGGGTGCGTGACTTCAAACAAACATTTTGCATTCAGAAATTCCGAGACATGCATATCTATTCCCTTGATTTCAAAACAATGCCATGACATGCTTGATTTCAAACAAAATTGAACGGTGCAATATTGAACGGTACAATGATTCCCGTAGTATTTTTTTGTCCACTGCTCATGCATTTCAATGAAAACATCACATATATTTTTTTCGTGCTATACATTACATAGATCCACTGCATCGTAAACAAACACTGACATTGTCACAATGCAATTCTCGAGATCTCACGGACAGCCCCTACAGAAACCTCGAGAAGTGCAAGAAATGTTACAGATACCCGTTTGCCAATCGTCACTTGTTTCACGAACATTCAGCGTACATATAAGAATATGGATGTTCACTCTGTGCACAATGCATCTTGTCTCTACGTCCACGTCTGAGCCCAGGAAAGAGGTACTTGGTAACTTCTACAACTTCATGCACTAACCTGCTACACACTCGCACAATTCAATGCAAAGAATGTGTTGTTCGAAGCCTGAGACCACGACTCCTGCGTTTGACAAGCAAAAATCATGTCGCATAGACATGCAAACTGAACAGTGAAGCTCACTATGAACGTATCAATTCCCACACAGATTACCACACCAAACGAACCAAGCTCCGCACGTCCTAGCACGGATACACTAGCAAGCATTGTCACCCTCAATCTCTAACAGTTCCATGTCGTGCGGTCAAAGTACACACAAAATCTTTTACACACGAACGCTTTTAGACGCTTTGACACACAAAAGCCTTTACACACAAACGCTTTTACACACAGACGCTTTTACACACAGACGCAACGCTTTTACACACAGACGCTTTTACACACAGACGCTTTGACACACAAAAGCCTTTACACACAAACGCTTTTACACACAGACGCTTTTACACACAGACGCAACGCTTTTACACACAGGCGCTTTTACACACAGACGCTTTTACACACAGACGCAACGCTTTTACACACAAACGCTTTTACACACAGACGGTTTTACACACAGACACTTCTACACGCAGATACGTTTTACACACGCACACGCGCTTTCACACACAAACGCTTTTACACACAGACGCGTTGACACACAAACGCTTTTACACACAGACGCTTTTACACGCAGATGCTTTTTTCACACGCACACACGCTTTCAAACACAAACGCTTTTACACACAGACGCTTTTACACACAGACACTTGTACAGAAACGAAAACGTCCATCGCAATTTTTCCTCAGTTTTTGACGTGCAACGTCCATTTCGTGCGAAAGGGTTACGATTGACCAAGTAAAATCGCAATTTTTCCTAAGTTTTTGACGTCCAACGTCCATTTCGTGCGTAAGGGTTGCGATTGACAACTCAAAGTCGCACTTTTTCCTCAGGTTTTGACGTCCAACGTCCATTTCGTGCGTAAAGGTTGCGATTGACAACTCAAAGTCGCAATTTTTCCTCAGTTTTTGACGTCCAACGTCCATTTCGTGCGTAAGGGTTGCGATTGACACTTCAAAGTCGCAATTTTTCCTCAGTTTTTGACGTCCAACGTCCATTTCGTGCGTAAGGGTTGCGATTGACAACTCAAAGTCGCAATTTTTCCTCAGTTTTTGACGTCCAACGTCCATTTCGTGCGAAAGGGTTGCGCGCGACACCTCAAAGTCGCAATTTTTCCTCAGTTTTTGACGTCCAACGTCCATTTCGTGCGAAAGGGTTGCGCGCGACACCTCAAAGTCGCAATTTTTCCTCAGTTTTTGACGTCCAACGTCCATTTCGTGCGAAAGGGTTGCCGGGGACGCTTCAAAATCGCAATTTTACCTAGGTTTTGGACGTCCAACGTCCATTTCGTGCGAAAGGGTTGCGTTTCGTGGCGCTCCGGCGACACCGCCCCCGCCTTAAGAGAGAATAGAAGAAGAGCGAGAGGAGATCTGCAGATGTGAAGGTGTGAAGATCTAGATCTGCAGGTGTGAGGGTGCGAAGATCTAGATCTGCAGATGTGAGGGTGTGAAGATCTAGATCTGCAGGTGTCAAGGTGTGAAGATCTAGATCTGCAGATGTGAGGGTGTGAAGATGTAGATCTGCAGGTGTGAGGGTGTGAAGATGTAGATCTTCAGGTGTGAAGGTGTGAAGATCTAGATCTGCAGATGTGAAGGTGTGAAGATCTAGATCTGCAGGTGTAAGGGTGTGAAGATCTAGATCTGCAGGTGTGAGGGTGTGAAGATCTAGATCTGCAGATGTGAGGGTGTGAAGATGTAGATCTTCAGGTGTGAAGGTGTGAAGATCTAGATCTGCAGGTGTGAAGGTGTGAAGATCTAGATCAGCAGATGTGAAGGTGTGAAGATCTAGATCTGCAGATGTGAAGGTGTGAAGATCTAGATCTGCAGATGTGAGGGTGTGAAGATCTAGATCTGCAGGTGTCAAGGTGTGAAGATCTAGATCTGCAGATGTGAGGGTGTGAAGATGTAGATCTGCAGGTGTGAGGGTGTGAAGATCTAGTATAACGGCTGCTTTTTTGCGAAGAACCCTTCGCAGGCGCTCTCGGGAAAAAAAACGATGGATGTCCAACCACCTGTTTTTTTTAACGGCCTCTGCAGTGATGTTCTTTCGCTCAAGCAGTTTATCGACCATAAATATATCTTAATTATATTAAAGTATAGTTATAGATGCAAATTCACAGGTTCACAGTTTGTAACTATAGATATATCTAGATATATCTACCATAAACCATACTAGTCACCAAACGTGAACTGTTCGAGCCGTTCACCAACTTAGCTATCCGGCTATCGGAGTCCACAGATCCAAAGATAGCTTTTTTCGATGATCTTCCCATCTGCAGAAGAGTCCCCGTTTCGAGTTTCGAGATAATGTTCCGATTTAGAAAAATCATGCTTTAGAAGTGATAAACAATTCATGTTATTTCAGGGTTTCCCATGCATTGTCTTCTTTTCTCAAAAAAAGGGGGAAGAAATCAGCGTTTTCTCCCAGGAGTTTCTGTCCAAGCTCCCGAAACCTCGTGCATTGGAGCTGCAGGGTGTCAGGTGCTGCGAATGGTAGTGCCATTTTGAGAGCTATAGATTGGACTAGATTCGAGTTGATAAAGAAAGATATACTAACATATACTATAAACATATATGCTAAAAACATATATACTAAAAACATATATACAAAAACATATATACTAGACTATACACAAGATGCATACTAGCATATACTAAGCATATTTGGAAACTCTGCAGGGTAGCTAAGATTGACCCAACATTTCAGCGCTGTGAGCGACCAGGTTTTCAGCGGTTCCTTTTTTGTCATAGTTTGCGTTCATCTCTTCGTTGGCCATAGCTCAGTTGGTAGAGCATATGACTGGAGTTTCAGCAGATTGGAGATCGATTTTGGGCGGGGACATCTTGCAACACTGACAACTATTGACACTTGCACCGAACAGTTTGCATGATAGACATGGTGCGAAGACACTGCGTAAGCTTTCACGTAAGGAAGCAGTATGATGCGTGGTTTGAAATCTAGAAGAAGCTCTTTGAACCTGGATGGTGTGAAGGGGTGAAAACAAGCATTGCCCTTGGTTTGAAGGCGGAACCGAGACAGTAGAAGCAATATGGGCTTTTAGAAGTAGGACAGTTTGAGGCAAGAGTCGGCATGAAAACACAGAAGTGTTTGCAAGCGGTTCGTCACTAATTTGTGCAGGCTGTACGTTTGAGATATTCCATCATTGTCATGATAAAAGATGGGAATTTAGCAATTGAAAGCAGTGCTAGTTTTTGTGGTATGTTGCTTTCATCTCTTCATTGGCACCCTTTCCTACCTATCTTTTTTGGAAGTCTGTCACGCCCACAGAAAAAAAAAACACACACTTAAAGCAAAAATTCTGCCAATCAGCTGGCTTCAGTACAGTATTTCTGTCTTGTTTTGGGTAGGGTGAGAGGGGGGACCCAAAAAAACAAATACTTTCTTCGAGCGACCCCCACCCTGACACATTATTTTGACATACCCGGTAGTTTCTGACATACCATCTGGAAGTGTGTATATTGCATATATATATATATATATATGTTTTACCTGTTTTTTTGTCTGGCATATACTCTGACATTCTTTCTGGCATATACTCTGATATTCTTTCTGGCATATGCTGTGACAAAGATTTTGACATTCTATCTGGCATTCTCCTTGACCTATATTCTAACATCCTGTCTAACATTCTTTCTGGCATCCCTTCAACCAACCCAATATTACTTTAAGATACTCTAAGATCTTTTGGTCATGTTGGTCATTTTGCGCATTCTTAAATGGCAACAACTTGGGCACGCTTTTCAAGCTGCAAGTTTGATCAAGTTTGATCATTGGCAAAGCCATTTTGGTTTTAATCCTCACGCCTGTTTCAATGGCCATTGGACTGAATCTACTTGCAGCTTTTTGTCAGGAGACGATTGGAAAAAAGTGGTTAATGGTGGTTTAGAATGGTGAATGATGCTTCATAGTGGTTGATAACGGCAAATGGTTTTTCGCAGTCCCTTCCCCCATAGTAAACACCCACATGAAACCATGGTGGATGTAGGGAAATTACTCTGGTTCATTGGGGGATCGTCCATCAATAGGGGAAGAGATGTATGTATATATATATATATACGTGTATATATCGTGTATGAATATATATATATATATTTGTGTTTATATATATTTATATATATATTACGTATTATATATATATATTACGTATTATATATATATATATATTTATTTATTTATTTATATTTATATTTACAGACTGATATATACACATATATATATATAGTCATCCTGAAGTAGATAGAGTATGATTTGTCACACATATTCCTATTTTAGTCAGTTGTTGTTGAAATTTCTATAGTCTATCTACTCCAGGATGACCATATATGTACATACCATGCATATAGTACCCAAAAAACACTTAAAAAAAGTGTATATAATCACTATTCTACTATCTTTCGGGGGGTTGGTGAATTATTACATCATTTATTCACACATAACCTATGTATATATGTATACATACATGTCTATACATATATATATGCATAATATGTAGTCATATACATATATATATACATACGTGTATATATATACATACATATATATATATATTTGTTTCTTTGCTTGGAACTTGTGGAGAGCAAGTAATGTGTTGACGATATAGTTGCCAAAATGGCTATGCCATTTTGGCTCAAGCTGTTCCCCCTGCGATCCAATACTTTCGAAAAACACGTTCCGATCCTTTTCTTTGGCCATGGCGGCTTCTAGTCCAGTGGCTAGTGAGACTGGCACCGTGGGCTCTTTCTCGCTGATTGGGACAGATTTGGACGCAGGGGACGATTACATGGTGCTTTCCACCCAGGTGACCGAGGCTGCGCCGGCCGAGGTTATTACAGAGATTGAAGATGATCCCGCCATCACCAGGGAGACTCTGGCTTCGCAGCTCCATGAGATGGAGAAAGTGATGGCAAACTTGGGCTTGGAACCCAAGCCGGAGACAAGTGTGGAAGCGTCAAGTGGGCAACCTCCGTCGGGTTTCGTCCATGCAGAGGCACAGATTCCGACCCAGACATCACGGGTCTTAGAGAAGGAGACGTTGACACTCCACATGGATCCGACCACAGAGACCTTCACCATCGAAGGCTGGGCACCTTTGATTCCAGCCCTGCCTCACTCGGCTGCCAAGTACTTCAGAGACATTACGCATGGTGAGTTGCGTTCCCTTTTGGATGCTTTCCGCAGTTCTCCGTGGACGGCATCCTTGGTGGTCAAGATCGCAGAGGTGTACCACATTTCGAAGCGCGAGGCTGTCCACACACAGATGTTGAAACTCCGGCACACCACGCAGCGTGGGGGATCCATGATGAATTTGAAAGAGAAGGACCCTGGAACTTCTCCGCAATTAGTTTGTTCTGATTGCAATGCACCGTGGGGACAGTTATCCAAATGTTTGCTTTGTCAAGGCTCTCAGCCTGTTGACCTGTCAATGACACCTTTGTCAGTGATTGAGGTGGCCGGCCAGTCCTGGCAACTTAGGCTCACTGAGGCGGGACCGACTTGGGTTCCCACAGATACTAAGGTTACTAAGGCCTCAGGCTTTGTGGAAGTGGGAGATCTTGGCCGACCTCCCCCTGCGGCAGCTTCGGGCGCCGGTACGGGGCTGGTCAGCTTTTCGGAGCAAGTTCCTGCCTCCCAGCGCATGACACTGCAGCAGCACGTGGTGGCCTTCGGGCAGGACGAGATCTTTCATCCAGATGGCGAACGCCCCCCCACTATGGATGATCGAGACTCTACTCAAACTGCTGTGATCTTTCATCCGAAGACCATTGAACTGATGCGCTTCAAGGTGGACTTGCTGGCCACACCAGAAGAAGAGCTTACGGAAGCGGCACAGGAGGCCAAGAGGAGGAAGAAGGAGATTCAACACCAGCAAGAGACTGTGGCGATGGAAGATGAGCTGCATACACTGACTGCCATCCAGCAGGGTGCACAGGAAACCCAGAATCCGGTCAGTGCCAAGATGCTCCGCCACGCTGACCTCCAGCAGTTTCGGTCCTACCTCAAAAGAAAACATGAAGAAAGTGGTCTCACCTCCTCTTACGAGGCTTTGGTGGCGGCACAGACCACACAGGAGAAAGCGGCGGCCGCCAACAAGGCCCTGGACACAGAGTTCAGAGACCGACGCAAGGCCCTCAAGCCCATTGAAGTGGCGTCCTTTTCACTGTGGACCCCGGCCCTGCAAGAGGCATGGCAGAACAACCTCTTCGCGCCGGCCATGGGACCTCAGGGCCCTGAACAATTTGACATGGAGGCACTGAAGCAGCCCTACCTCCGAATGAAAGAGCTCATCAAGGATAACAAGCCTCCGCTGTCCCAAGACCGCCTCATGACGGAGTTCCCCAAAACGCAACTCGACATGTACACCACGGGGACGGAGATGATATCTTCCCAAGAGGCCCAGTTAGCACGACTCCTCCCGCCGGACAGCCTGGAACGCAAGTACGCAATCCTTGACTCCATCTTGCAGTACCACAAAGGTGAAGTCAGAGCCTGGGGCGGAGAGTGGGAACTGCGACAGGGCCCGCTCATGGCACCTGCCTGGGCGAAACCGGCACCTACGGCTGAGGTCTTGGCTTTGGAACTCAGGACAAACCCGCTGGGCACCTCCTTCTACACGCCCAAAACCTACACAGAACAGGTGGTCCTGCAACAGATTGCCGAGGGCAAGCGACCAGACCTGGACAAGATCATTGGCTTCTTCTGGGCCCCGGGGACGGCGGTAGCTTCTGGCACCGACGATACCCACCTGGTTCGGAGGGTGCAATCATGGGACCTTCCCTCCATGATCACGATGCTTGGACAGTCCTGGACGTTCAAGGAGATCTACCAGGCTTGGTGTGGCATGCCGCTGATCGTCAAACCGATGCGCAGAGGGCATGGGGAAGGCATCCGCCAGAAGAAGGTGGCAGAGTTGGCGGCACACCGGCAGAGGACTTCAGAGATCAAGTCCTTCCTCACCAGTGTGGGCCTCCGGTTTCCCCAATCACAACATGAAATCAAGCTGCTCTACAAGGAAATTGGCAGCTTTTTGGCTGCCTCGGTTTTCTTAGCCAGAACCCCAGCGGTGGTCTTGGACTTGCCCGAGCAGGACATCCAGGACACAAAGGAGCAGCTCCGTTTTCGAGCGGTTTGTGATGAGCGCATCACCTTGCCCTTGGATGCTTTCAGGCAGCTCCCGGACGTTTTCCAGGCGCTGTCAGCCACTCTGGGGGCCCACAGCATGGTGCAAGTGCAAGTTGCCTGGCGGTGCAACTGTGAGCTATGGTGGGTTGCCCTGGTTCCCCATGAGAAGGCGGAGAGCTTTTATTGCCGTCTGGGCTACTCCCAGGCAGAGATTGATGGCTTCCTGAAGACTGCGCTGGAACCGGAGGCTCTGCAGGCGACTACGGTAGCTTCGGGCACCGGTAAGTACCCAGAGCTCTCCTTGGAGAACGTGGTGTCCATATGCAGCCCCAAGTACAAG